TAACTAAATTCCACCGAGAATTACCAAACTTTTCATTTTCTTTTCAATTTTTTTTTTTCTCTCCTTCTTTCTCCAGAACACCAGCCGCATGATCCGACCGCAAATCATAGTAAAAATAGAAAATTGTAATGGTTCAAAAAAAAAAAAATAATAATACAAATGATAAGTAAACAAAATTTTTTTTTCTTACCTGATCCGGACGGGGGAAGATAGATAAAAATAAAAATAACGCTAAATTAACACTAGGACTAAAAACTAAAGTCGATAAAAAACTAGTCGATAAACTAACTAACGAAAAACCGAGGCACAACCGCGCGATCACCATTGGGTGGGCGGCGGAAGGCTGTCCACCTCAAAAAGCCAAACGAAAATTTCCTCCTGATCTCCGGTGTTCCACTCGACCACAAACCGCAGGACCTCGCGACCAGCCCTCTCATCCGTATCGCAATCCACGCCAGCTAGTCCGTATCTCACTTCATGTACGAAACGATCCCGAAGACCCCGACACATTTGCTCAAGGCACCATCCAAACGCGAAACGAGCTCCGCCGCTCAAATAAAAGACTGCTAACCCATCCTCATAGGGCTTAAGCTCACAGGGGCCCCGGCACCACAACAGTGCTTCGCGGAGCACTGTTATCACCTCATACCACCCTCGCCCGGTGCCCTTAAATTCCGAAGGAAACATCTTAAAAAAAAAAATTTTTAAAACCACACGCCGCGAAAGACCGCCGAGAGCCAATAGACATAGACTAAACTGAGAACTACGCGTCTTACGAACAGAGCCGATCACCAGAGAAAAAATGCGCAACTTCAGCAATTAGGGAATAGCGGGTGTATACCCCTCCCCTCCCCCACCTTCCGCAAAGACCAGAAGAAACTAATAGCCGACAGCTATTGCCAAATCAGAATAAAATTATACAATCCCCCCCCCCAAAAAAAAAAAAAAAAAAAAAAAAAGAAAAAAACACCGTCACCTACTATCTCAAGTCCAACCATTCTCATCACCAGTTGGGCTGCAGTCTGGATAAGGAAATTAACCTTAGTTCTGAAAGCACCTATGTGCATAGGGGAGACTAGGGACACATGAGAGGTTTCAGAATTAAGCTAACATGGTACAATGGGACTGCGCTTGCAGTTTGGAACTATAAACTCGGACTCGATTTAGAAGCGGTGTACCTGCCATTGATTTTATTATACACATAGTTATTATTTTTTATTTTTTTTTCTCTCTTCTTTCCTTCTCTCTTCCTCTCATTCTCTTCCTTTTATAAACGTTTAAGAAGCTAGAGGGTGTAGGCCCAGATTGCAGGCTACAGTCTCGTCGACCTACGTCAAAAAAAAAATTCTTTTTTTTTAAACAAACTTGCTCACCAGCAATACCATTTGTCGCTGCTGCGTCGCTGAGACATACCCAGGCGAAGAAACGCAAAACCTCAGCATTTAAATGCGAATCAGAGTTCTTTCGACGGCTTGGACGCGCCTTTACGCCGCGTCTTTGCACACTGCATAACTACGCAATGGCGCATATATGATCGGAAAGCATAATGGGAGTACCATGGCTGCGTAGCGAACATGCATTCCCTCGCTTGGCGGAGGAAAATTCGATAATCGAACTGTTTTTCTCAACCCTTTATTTTGTATACATTTTACAACTTCACCAAATGAGAAATTACTAAAAGCGACTTTTAATTTTTTTTTCCTTTATTTGTGTGCTCAGGAAAAAAATTCAAAATCGACGGACTGTTACAGGCCAGCGAGTGAGTTCAAGCATCTCATTGACCCGAAAATACAATTGCTAATATGGGAACAAAGGGAGTTTTGCTTTTTATGTTGCTTATGGGTAAAATAGCGTCGCTACACTCCTGCGAAGAAATTCGAGAAACAAAGATGTTAACATACAGTACACCTAAACAGGCACTTTTCTCAGAAGGCAGCTTCTTACAGCCTTGCATAATCGATTTAATAGAAACATACTCTATCTGCGGTGTTAGATATAAATCAGATACGTTAGCAGCTCTGTTCAGAACTGCTAACGAAAAAGAGTCGCAAGGAAACACGGAAATTAAATTAGCGCTATCAAAATCGAAAAGGGCTGCACCATTAGTAATCGCAGGGGGTGTAGCGATTGCATCATCAATTTGGGCGGGAATTTCATATAGTAGAGTCAATGGGAGGATTGATGAATTACGACAACAAGAAAGACATGACACGGCATATACAAGAAAAATTATGCTGGAACTTGATCACCGCCAACACCTGGAATTCGTAGCAATTCGACGAGAATTTAATCATGTCACGAAAAATACCCGGGATCAAATATGTAAAGCCACCGAAAACTTAACAAGAACAATCATTGAATCAAAATTCGAGGATGAATTTGATGATTTAATGAATTCTCTTAAGACACATGCGGTAACAGCTAAAATTTTGCCACCCCCTATCCTGTATAATTTGGTTGCAACGCTGCCACAACTACACGATACAATCTATGTAAAATCACCGTATTTGATTTATCACACGGGAAAATTTTCGTTCAATCTGCAGGAAGTGGGAGCGGGAGGAGACATTCTTAGAGGCGTTTTAGAACTTCCATTAATAAAAACGGTTCAGGAAATTGAAATGAAAATTTTAATAAAAAACGTTGGTAATGAGCTTTTAGTTTTTAATCCTGTGTACG